ACCACAGAGGTGACGCTGGGATTGCCACCCAAGCAAAGAATGAGGAAAAATACCTGACTTCTCCTCCCTTCAATCTCTTGGTATCTCTTGTTGGCCAAATCCAGCTGGCTGACAAGAAAGTTTGAGAAATGTAATTTGCAATGGCCAGCACCCCTACACACGTGCACGTGTGCACACATACATGTGCGCGTTACAAAGCTCAGCAGGGGAAAGCTAGGGAACGGATCTGACAGCAACAGGCAAATGACCTAAACTGGGTGAGGTGAATATTCTAGAGTCTACATGGGATGTTGCTCAAGAATGTGCAGTGTATCGTGATGTCGGTTTCAAAGGTGTGTTTACCAAGTGTGCATGTGTGTGTTTGGTGTGACCGCTCCAGAGTGTACATGTATCAGATGGATACCAGGGGCTTGTGCCTGTGTGTAAGAGGGACAAACACCACGGGGCTCATGTGATGTGAACATTCAAGGCTATGTGTATGTGTGATGAGAATATTTAAAGCTCATGGTGTGTGTGCTATGAATGTTCAAGGTGTGCTTGTGACTTGAATGTTCAGAGCTGCATGATGTGATATTCATCCAAAGCTCTGTATGTGTGTATGAGGAGAGAGAGAGAGAGAGAGAGAGAGAGAGAGAGAGAAGAGGGAGAGACATGTGACAGACTGGTGAGAAGGACTGGGGTTAGAAGAATAGAGTGCACAGAAATGCTCCCTCTATACCTAGTAGAAAATGTGGCCATGTGTCTTCATTGGCGACGATGAAGATCTCTATGCTAAACTTTTCATCCTCACACATGCACACAAAATAGCTGAGGATGGTGTTCAGAAAAAGCTGCATAAATATATATAAGAAACAAAAAATTTGTTTTAACAAACATACTTTTTCATCCAAATGAATGTCACCTGCTTCGAAGTAGTAGCCTTAAGAAGTTAAATTCTTATTTGATTGACACAGCCATGGCCCGGTGAGTTTTTTGGACCTGCTTTCAGAGTCCATCTATGTGCCAGACAAGAAGTCGACAATCATTATTACTCAGATTCACATATTCTTATTGGCTGAGGTTAGAATGACCCAACCTAATCACTTAATCACTACCATCATTGGCTTAAGAACTTCTCCAATACCCAAATCTCTCTCTTTAAAAAAAAAAAAAAAAAAGCTAATGTATCACCTTTGAGGCTAAGTCAGCTTCCTTTGGGTACATGGATTAAAACCCAGGCTTCACTGCTTGACAATTAGCTGTTTAGACGAGAGTGTGCAGGGAGCAACAGAAACAACTGGGAACCAAAAGAATATTGTAGGATCTGTAGAATCACATTTTGTGCACATTTGACTTTCATGAATTCAAACTATTATACTTGAACTTGACTTTCATGAATTCAAACTATTATCCTTGAACTTGTAAAGGTGAGACAATAATACTGTAAACAGCACAGGCATTTTCATTCACTGTTCTCTCCCATGGGCTCCTGCTCTGGAGGGAGTCTGAGATGGCTGAGACGCCGCCAGTCTTGGATCCTCAATGTCTGTCTTTGTGTGAGCGTCACATGTCATGTCACCTGGTATATTCAGAATCCTCTTCATTTTCTCCCCAACTGCCCCAATTCAGGCCTTTGTGGGAAGTGCACTCAACTGCCCCTCCCGGACAGACACAGGAATCTTAGTATGTTATACGTCATGGCCCCTGAGCATAAGCCAACTGGCTAATCTGCTCAACCAAATAAACCACGATCAGTTCCATCACTGGAGGAAATCATGCTGGGTTCCCCGAGAGCCCTGGGCCAGTCACCAGCGTGGTACCTTCCCAAGGGATATTTCCATGGTAGCTTTGACAATATGTGGCTTGTGACTTACACGCTCACTTTAGAAGCCAGCCCCCAGGAAAGATGTGACTTCACACAGGAGATCATGCAACTCATTCTCATCCTTTCAGACAAAACCACTCTTAAAACTGTCCTGGGCAATTAAGAACCTAGAATATCAAAATAATTCCCACATGCTCTGCCCTCCAGCCCCACAGAATTTCCTTGCTTTCCCCTGGCCCCCTCCTCCTGTTCTTCAGATCTCAGCTTGCCCACGACAGTGGGAGGCCTGCCCTGGGCCCCCGTGGCGGGGTGCACAGCACGCGCCCCCCCGGCCTGTCGATGGGGCTGTTTCTGCCCCACCCTCAGCACTAAACCATCATGAGGACGTCGGAAAGGAGTATTCTCATCACCATTTCACCTCCGGTGCTTGACTGTGAAACAACCTCCTCCACAAGTATTTGCGGAAGGGTAACTGGAAAGTTTCAATTCACTTTATTTGAGGTTTTTCCTTGTCGTGAGCATTTACTGTCTTTGAGAAAAATGTGTTGAGGTAACTGACAACCTGAAAGACTAATCCAGTGGACTACTTAGAACTGACTTTATTTTTAATGACATTTGTCCTTATTTTATTACTTATGGAGATTTCCACCCACAGTTACCAGTTAGCTTTCCCAAACTGTGCTTTAAATGTTGATTTTTGTATTAAAAAGTAGCGTCAAAAATTCTCTTCAAAAAGAAGAATTCACTTTAATATTTAATAATCCTAAATGTCAAGAAATTCTTCCCATGTGTAACTTCTCAAAATTCCTACTGCTGCAATTTTAAGCCTCATTCCTCTCATCCAGACACAGATGACTCATCAACACCCCTGGGTGAGCAACACACACACTCCGACCATGACTCCTGTCACTCTGGTCTCCAGGCTCAGTAACTTCGACCCCTTCAGCCTCGTTGTTCTCTACTTCAATCCCCTCCATGTTCTTGCAAATCGTCCCAGCACGGGCCTTTCCAGGGGTACCTGGGCCTGCAGTAGTTTGCCCCTCGATAACTGGCTCAGGAATTCTATAAATGTGGGCGTCCAGACAGCGTGGGACAATGGGTGGCTCTGAAATACATAGCTCTGGCTCCACCACACATTGACTATGAGACCTTCACGGATTCTTCACCTCCCCAAGGCTGTCTGCTGATCTAAAAACGGCGAGATTAAAATTGCCATGCACGGCTGCCGTAAGAATTAGGTGAGGCAGATTACGAGGACAGACAGGCCTATCACACGGATATATGAAGTGGCCCCAGAGCATGGGAGTGTGGGTCCCCTCCCCCTCCCCGAGGACACAACATCTAGCTGTGGCACTTCCTGGATCTGATGCACAGAGGCAGAGATGGCCACCGTGCCCCACATCTGTCCTGACTGGCTGCATGGCAGCTTCCAGCTACCCCTTAGCCTCAGAGGACACAGGATTCTGCTCAGCCTGAGGTAAGACACTTCTTCAAGGGCAGCAGCCTAAGGCCAGGTGCAGTGAAGGTTTCCAGGGACGGCCCCTCTACTTCCAGAACAAAGTGGATGCCAGGCAGATTCTGCCACCTGGTGGTACGCATGTGTATGAGCCCAACCCAGCAGTCAAAGCCCTGCCTGGCCGCCTCAGCCCCATCTGGCTTCTTAGTCTGGGGGTGTCCTCTCTCCTCTTCTCCGCCTGATCTATCCCAAGGCTTTCTGACTTGGAAGTGTCCTCCCAAACGCTCTCGTCCCAGGGTGTTCTGAACTTCGTCTATCTGCTCCAAAGGCCCTGGTCTGGCCGCAGGGGTCCTCATCTGACTATATTAGGACAATTTTCCCCTGCTGAGCCAAAGGAGAACCTGGGGGTCTCTCACAACCCAGGCCGGTTCCTCAGCCACTCAGCGGCTACTTGGGACCTGAGTATCTGATACTTCAGCAATCGATGGTGTGTCTGTACTGCCAAGGCCTCGGAACAAACCTCGTGCTAGCTTTGCTGGCCCACTTCAGAGTGGCTTAGGGTAGGCTAGCTGGGGTGTCTGTGCACCTGTTCCCTGCACTGGGCTAACAATGCCCTCCCTGGCCATGCCCATCCCCTGGCTCACGGGGGACCTCCCAGCCCGACCCCTTCAGCTGCAGCAGCGACTCAGCTGCCTAGACCTATCCCTGGGCCTTTACCAGCACATATTCTGGAAGGAAGGAGATGAGCACTTTTTCCCCAAACCTTCTGTCTCAAACACTGAAATTTCAAGGCAGGTGAAAGGTGACCAGTAGTCTTAAGAGACTGGCCATAATCCAGGCTTGATGAGCTTCTAGAAAATAAAGCAGAGGGGCGGGAGCTGAGGCTGCTCTGAGATTTCAGGCGAACGGGCTCTATCTTGCTGTGTGTGCTTGCAGCTTAGCGATCTGTGAGCTTTCCATAATTGGGTTGCTGACCTTTCAGCTGCACACCTTCTTCCCCTGCTGTGGTAACAGAATGGGTCAGCAAGCCTATTCTGTTTTCAGTGCCCCAGAAGCCTGTGCCTAACAATGGCTCTGGATTTCCTGGCCCAGGGTGGGACAGGGCTAACATGCCCAACCAGCGGGATGTAGTTCTGGGGCTAACCTGCCACACACCCATTTTGAGATCAGCGGATGGAATCCATTAATGTCCAAATTACTCAAGTCCCTTTCCAAATAGGTCAGAAATGCTTGGTTGCCACAATGTATAACCTAGAAAAGGTGAGAATGGGAGTTGTAAAAGCTAAAGATGACACAGCTCACTTCAGGAGCAGAATTTGGGAACCTAAATACAGTGGAAGGAGGGAAACATTTACTGAGTGTTTATGACAAGCCATGCACGGTGCTAAGTACTTTCACATAAATTATCACATTACCTGAGAAGTAGTATCATCTTCATTTTACAGATGAGAAAGGTAAAGTTAACAAAAGTTAAGGACTAGCTTTGTACACAGGTCTGGGTTTGAATTCTGAACCAGCAAGTAACTCTAGCAAGTTAACGAACTTCTTTGAGTCTATTTTCCCATATACAAAATAGAGATGAGCTGGGTGTGGTGGCTCGTGCCTATAATCCCAGCTACTGGGGAGGCTCAGGTGGGAGAATCCCTTGAGGCCAGGAGTTCAAGACCAGCCTGGGCAACATAACAAGACCCCATCTCTGCAAAACACAATTTAAACTTAGCTGGATATGGTGGTGCATACCTGTAGTCCCAGCTACTTGAGAGGCTGAGGTTGGAGGATCCTTTGAGGCCACAGTTGCAGTGAGCTATGACCATACCACTGCATTCCATCCTGGACAAGAGAGTCAGACCCTGTCTCTTTAAAAAAAAAAAAAGTGGGGAGAAAGGCAGGGATAATGATGCCTGCCCTGCTAGTTTGAGTAAAAATGTGCCTTGTAGGTAAGTAAGAGACCTTGCACCATTCCTGGCACCCAGCAGTCACTCCACTGTCATTAATAGGGACAGTAGTCATAACTGAGGTCATAAACAAACTCAAACCTAGGTTCTCTGACCTCAAATTCAGTGCTCATGGGGAAAGGAGCTGACTCACATACATATGAAGTTTAGTTGGATATAGGGGCCAAGTTAACAGCTAATTATCTCATAAAGTGCTAAGCGTGGAAGCACATAGAAGGTGCAGAAATGGCCCAGCAGGAGGTAATCCTTGAGGATAAGTTACCAGGAAAACAAGTTTATAAGCAGGGCAGTATTTTCCCCATGGTACCAGCAAAGGTGAAAACCAGGAGACTGGAAATCCTTTGGGAAAGCAAGGACCAAGGGTGGGGAGGGTGTTACCTAAACCTCTGGAGGGTCCTTGTAGGTAGCTGGGTGGTGTTTTACATGTTACACACACACACACACACACACACACACGTGCACAGTGGCATTTCTCTTCTTAGGTTGCACAAACACACCTCAAACTGTAACTCCTAATCCCCACAGCACCACACACATTACACACTACTCTCTCCTCCCACGCTGAGAACATCACCTCATACTTTGTTCCCTGGCGATCATCCCCAAAAGGATACACTAGAAACAATTTTTTGGTCATGTTTGGCAGCCAGTGGAAGATTCAAGCTGGCACTCAGCAAATACAGTCATTTCTACTATCATGCTAAAAATACTGCATCCTGAATTATCATACTCCAAAATATCAGAAAAGGGGGTTGGGCAGACCACACAAAACCTATGGAATTCTGTGGCCAGAGCAACAACAAAACACACCCAGTGATGCTGCTGCCACAGTTAAACCCCCACCAACGCCGCCGCCGCGTGACCAGGCCTGGCAGCCTTCACTCCTGGGCTCACGCTGCTTCCTGAGATGGAGGGCAGCGGAGATGAGTTCCATCCAAAGTAAAAACGTGATCCAGAACGGGGCCTTCCTTCTTCAACATTTTTTAAAAACAAAACTGGGCAGGGCATTGCCACAGCTTCTTTCATTCTACTCAGTTTCCCCAGATAGCTGAACATGGTGGAAAGACTAATAGTGATTCTTGAAGCTACTAACCCAGCCTTACTTGCAGTAAGGAAGGCACTTCTATAAAATTTCCAGCTTTTCTTCTTAAGTTATTCAATCTTGTCCCTGATTGTTTCAAAATATTGATGCTCTGAGGAAAATCTCACATGAAAATCTAACATAATTTTGGTTCATCTTGACACCATTTCTCTATTTACTAATTGCATATATGCTATTTCCCACTAAAGAAACAATGTCATAACAAACAGACCATCTTATTGCAAGGTCATGAAAAGAGTCACCACTTCACCCTGGCCATTCCTTCTCTTCTCAGTTAGAGGTGCCCAGGAAACCAAAAACATGCAATGTAGTTCACACAAAAAAAAAAACTCACTCAAAAACCCAGAGGACCTAAACCTCTGGAGGGTCCTTGTAGGTAGGGAAAGTGCATCCTGGCCCCATGGCTGCACCCAGGCTTCACTCCAAAGGCGCCACTGCTGCTCACGATCAGCAAGCCCAAGCTAGGGGACAGCTGCCCTCAGTGACGAGAGAAAGAGAACACACACGGGAGGAAAGGGCAGGGAGGAAATGTCAGCACTAGGTGCTTCAATTTTGATCACAGAAAGCAATTCCCCTGACCCTGGGCAAGAACACAGGGCTATATCTAATGCAGAAACAGAAACCTCATTCACAAGTTCACATCATACAGGCTAGTCTGTTTAACCCAGAAGGCTGTCTGAGGGAAACCAGGAAACATCGGATGGGACCCAGGACTGCAGACTTACTGCTGAAACCACTATTCCAGGCACAGGGGCATGCCTGAGTTCATCACTCTCTTCTGCTCACTTAGCAAACTGAGTGCCTTGTGTGTGCCAGGCACTGGGGACCGGCGGTAAACCAAGTGACACACTGCAGAGGCAAGAGCTGCAACCCAGAGACAGGAGCTCAGCAGCACCAGGGATGTGCAGTATGGCACAAGCCACAGCCTGGCCACAAACCCTCTAGTACTGTTTCAAAACAGGGAAGATAGGATTCAATTCTTTTAAAACACAAAGCGCTTTTAGGAGGGAAGGGGAGAGGGATTATTTCCTCGGCTAGATTAAAAACATTTTCATATCAAGTGGAAAGAGAAGGGGAAAAAACTGGAAAATAGCTAAGAAACTACACAGAACTAGGTTTTTCTCATGGGCCAAGTAGCTTTCACAGAGCTCAAGGTTTTTAGGTTGACTCATTCCCACTGTTTTTAATTCCTGAGCCAAGTCAGTTGATTCACTACAATACAATACCATATTCAATTATCACCTTGGGGGGAAAATGGAAAGGCACCCTAAGAGATGGCTCTCTCTCCATTGGGAGAAGCCAGTAGACCTCAAAGGGCAAATCAGCTGAGACCAACACAACAAAAGACTCATTTATTTCTCAGAATTTAGTCTGCTGCTTGGTATTACCTGCAAACGTGGGGCAATCACACATGTCCTTGAAGCCCTAATCCCAGACTTGTCTGAGCACTGTCCGCAGGCAGCTCAGTCCATCAGAAGTCCAAAAGAAATTTCCTAACCTGGGCCAGGTATTTTGGTTTCAAATAGTCACCCAGCTCCTCCTTACTGACCCACACATGATGGCCCTTCTTCCCGGCCTGGGAAAAGTCTCCAGTTAGTAGTAGTGCTTTGAAGAAGAATACTTTGGCCCCGAGGTTACTCTCTGTCCGCATTGCCTGGGGGAACTTGAACTTGTAGTGCCCACAGGGTGCATTTCCTAGAAATTTGGCTTCCATGTTGTTTTCTGAGAGGAAAAAAAAAAACAGAATTGAAAGATAAGGACACATCCACCTGCTTATTCTGGCTCTCAAAATCATAGAGGGTCTCTGTGAGATCCTCAGGAGTGAGGATTAGAGCCATTCCTGAAAAGAGCCTCCTCCCCTCTCAATCCAAATGCTTCCTGGCCCATGGAGTCCAGATTCAGTGGGCTTATTCCCAAGTGCCAAGTTACTGATTTTAGACTAGAAGTCAGAAATGCAGTTAAAATAACACTACCTGGAAGAGCACCTAGCTTCTACATTCAGCCTAGTCATCATCTGTGGATGAAGGACCAGCACAGTTGGCCTATGAAGCAAAGTTCATCCACTTTTAAAAGGGGTATGGCATGGCATGCATTAAAAGGACTCCAGACTTGACTTCTACAGGGTGAAAATGTTATAAACAAAGTTAAAACACAAAGACAGATGGGTAGACAATATCTGTAATCTATAACTAAAGGTTAATAATCTCAACCCAGCATTTCAAAGGGGAAATGATGGATTAATTACTAAATGTCATTTGAAGAACTGGCTAACTGAATAGGAAAAATAAAGCTGGACCCTATGCTCAGTTCTTACATCAAAATTGATACCATATAGAACAAAGATTGAACAATAGAAATTTTAAATTTTCATAAAAGAGTTGTTCATTCAGATGGCAATTTCATGGGCATTTAATATTTTCTGAATTTTTCTGTATTTTTTTTTCATTAAAAAAAAAAACCTTAAGAATATTAGAAGAAAATGTGGGATACTTTCTTATACCTTAAAATATTGAGAAGGACCTTTCTAAGCAAGAACAAATTCAAAATCCAAACAAAAAATTTATATTGTCTATATAAAAATAAATCTTTCTGCAAGGACAAATGAAGCACCAAAAGAGTCAAAGACATAATGACAAACAAGGAAAATATTTTCAACACATTCACAAAAGAATAACATCTTAAGGTATAAGAAGCACTTAGAAATTAATGAGAGAGGCCAGGCACGGTGGGCTCATGCCTGTAATCTAGCACTCTGGGAGGCCAAGGAGGGAGGATCGCTCAAGGTCAGGAGTTCAAAACAGCCTGAGCAAGAGCAAGACCCATCTCTACTAAAAAACAGAAGAAATTAATTGGCCAACTAAAATATATAGAAAATTAACCGGGCATAGTGGTCCTGTCTGTAGTCCCAGCTATCGGGAGGCTGAGGCAAGACATTGCTTGAGCCAGGAGGTTGAGCTTGCTGTGAGCAAGGCTGACACCACAGCACTTTAGCCGGGCAGCAGTGAGACTCTGTCTCAAAAAAAAAAAAAAAAAAAAGAAAGAAAAAGAAAAGAAAAAAAAGAAAGAAAATCAACAATGAGTATACTCAGGAGGGAGGATCACTGGAGCCAGGAGTTTGAGGCCAGCCTGGCAAGAGCAAAGACCCTGTCTCTATAAAAGTAGAAAAATTAGCTGGCATCGTGGTGCAGCCTTAGTCCCAGCTACTCAGGAGGCTGAGACAGGAAGATCATTTGAGACCAAGAGTTTGAGTTGCTAGAGCTAGGCTGATGCCATGGTACTCTACTTAGAACAGAGTGAGACTCTGTCAGAAAAAAGAGGGGAGGGAAGGGGAGGGAGGGGAGGGAGGAGGGGGAAGGGGAGGGAGGGAGGTGGAGGGGAGGGGAGGGGAGGGGAAGGTGAGAGAGGAGGGAGGAAGGAGGAGAGGAAGAGAAGGGGGGAGGGAGAAAAAACAACAAATTAAAAAAGAAAGCACATGAAATAAATATCACTGGCTTATTATAAATATTAACCCTTTGCACTTGCCTGCTTTTTCTGATTCCTTTATTCTACTCGGATTTAATTTTTTAAATACCCAGATTTTACAAAGCGCAGCAGTAGAATAAAAACTGGAGTTTCTTTTCACACAAACTTTTATTTGGATTTTTTTATATTTCAATTATTGATACATTCAAAGAGTAATTTTTTTCTTTTTTCTTTAGAGCTCTGTGGAGATGTACAAAGAGTAATTTTAATCTCTATAATTTTCTAACCGTGTCGAGTACTCTTGACATCAAGTGCAAAGGGTTTAAAACGTATTGAATATTATTAATAATTAAAGAAACACAAGTTAAAATAACAATAATATATTAGTGAAGTTTAAAAACTTTGAGCTGTACACTGCTTATGAAGGTTAAGGGGAAAATTGGTACTTTCATACATATTGTGGGGGGTATACATTAGTATAACTGCTATTAATTAGCAGGAGGTATCAATCGTACATACCCTTTGACCTAGCAACTCTACTTCTAGAACTTTATCCTACCAGATATACTTATTTGCCCATGTGAGCAAAGATGAGTGTCCAAAGATGTTCACCACAGCTTTATTTATAAAACCAACAGACTGGCTAAACTGCAGTACAGACCTATTTTAAACAGTATGCTGATGTTAATAAAGCTTAAGATAGGTCTTTTACAGGCTAATTTGGAAAGATGTTTAAAAGCTTTAACAGTGTGTATGTATATATACATACACACCCACCCATTATATGGAAAAAAGGAAACATTAAATAGTCACATCTTTGCATATTCATAGAAAATTTCTAAAAGAATACACAAAAAACCTGCTAATAAATGTTGCCTCTAAGAAGGGAAAATTACTTCTTACACTGCATTTACTAAATATTGTTTGATAATTTTTCACCATATACATAAACTGCTTTTCTGATATTAAAAAAACACACTAGCATTCAATGAAGAATTTATAAATGGTGTGAGCTCACATACAATACAAAATGTTAGTGGTGGGTCTTATGAGTGGTAGAATTATATTAAGATATTTCTTTATACTTTCTTGAATTTTCCAAACTTAATTCAATAAACGCATATTACTTCTCTAAAATCTGGAAAAAGATGGGTTTAAAAATATAATAAAAGAAAAAGAAAAACAGCTCATTACAAACATGAGCAAAGGATCTGAACAGGCAGTTTGCAAAAGAAGAAATACCAACAGCCAATAATCATATGAAAAGATGGTCGATCTCGTTAGCAAACAGGAAAATGCTAATCTAAAAGAGATCATTTTTACCAACCAGACAGGAAAAAATTAAGAAGGGACTATCTCATGTGTTGGTGAGGTCTAGGCAAACAGGTACTCCCATCCACCACTCCTGAAAAGGTTAATTGTTAGATACATTCAGGAGGACAACTGGGCAGTACCTACCAAAAACTTAAGTGTGTATACCCTTGACCCATTAATTCCACTTCTAGAAAATCCATCTTGTAGAAATACTGGAAGTGTGAAGCCAGTGGGGAGGAAAAGAATGTACTTTTTAACTTTTTTATATACAGTATATACTTTTATATTGCTTGCTTTTGTATTTTATTTTATATTATTTATCATTTTAATAAATTTGCAATAAGTCAATACATTTGTAAATCAGTATGTTTTGTTTTATTTTATATGCATTAAACAAAAAAAATCATTTAACATCTTCTGTATATTTCCTTTTATATTTATTTATGATAGGAATGTTAAAAGGAAGAAAACATAGCGCCAAGGTAGAACCCCTGCCATGTGCAGATAGGAGGGGGAGCTGAGCATCAGTCATAAGGGTTTGACGTGGGGGAGGGCAAGCACCTGAACACGATGAGCCTGGCAAGAAACCCAGCTGCCAAGGCCTACCTATGTGATGGTTGAGGAGACAGAGAGCAGCAACACCCCCCACCTGCTACTCTGTGTTGATGTCTCTCCTACAGGCCACACAGGCTCCTGGGGGAAAGGCAGCTGACATTTTGTTAGCAGGCACTTATGCTAGCAACAGAGCCAGTAAAGTGGCTATGCACCACCAAATCAATTTACTCAACATTGGGCAAGTACCTACTATGTGCCAGGTGCTTTCTGAGAACTGGGCTCATGGAGAGGAATAAATACTATCTATACCTTCAAGGAAGTCAAAATTCTGGCTGGGGAGAGAGACATGTGTTAATAACCAATTACAGTACAACGGCCTAAGTGAAAGAATGCACTCCCCACTAGCACATAAGCTCCTATTCATCACTGCGACCCCACTGCCTAGAGAGGGCCTAGCAAATCGTGGGCACAAAGTAAATGTTTGCCGCATAAACTGAATGACATACACAGTGCTATGAGAGCGTAGAGGGAAGAGTACTCTCTCTATCTGGAGGCCTGGGGAAGGTTCTGACACAAAAAGTATAACATTTGAGCTAAGTCTTAAAAACTGAGCAGTCAGGCCAGGAAGGAGTAAAGCATCACACCAGGGACCAGCATGCTCCAAAGCAAAATCACATGAAAAACCACATTACTGCAATAATGTACACATAGCACTTTTGCATAATGCAAAAGGTTTGCTGGGTTAGAACTTGGCGTATACATTAATGAGCAGTAAGAAAGAATGATGAGCTCGAGACCACAGCAAAAAGGATCTGTAGGCCATGTTTCAGAGTTTGAATTTTCACAGGAAACCTTCAGGAGGCTCATTTTAGCTGCTTTGAAGGGTATGACATAAAAGCGAGGGGGAACTTACTTGGCATAAACCTCAACAGTCTGGTGTAGTGGTTCTCAACCACTGTAATTTGCTCCCCAGGTAATATCTGGCAACATCTGGAGATATTTTTGGTTGTCACATTGGGGTGTAGGGAGGGTAGAGGATGAGGTATTGCTACTGGCATCTACTGGGCAGAGGCCAGAGATGCTGCTAAACATCGTATAATGCACAGAATAACCCCCCACAAAGAATTATCTGACCCCAAACATCAATAATGCCAAAGTTGAGAAACCCTGGTCTAGTGAAAAGTAACAAGGGTCACAGCTAAAGCTGTGGGAATAAAGGGACCATTTAGAACAAAACAGGTAGGACTCAAGGACTTACGGATATCAGAATGAGGTCAAGCATAGCTCTCAGTTCACTAGTTAAGTGAACCAGTAAGCAGTGGTACCAATAAGTAGGCTGAGAGAATTGTAGAAATATCAATTTTGAATGTACTAAATTTAAAAATCTCATTGGGACAAAGATAGATTCTCACCCGGTCAAAGGAAAATCCATACCTACATTTTTCTAACTGAAATTTTTACAAACATCAAAGTTTCTATTAACCCTCCCACCCCTCCCCTTAAACCCATGCCCATAGCAGCTTGTAAATCCTCTGGCTGAGTCTCAAGTGAATCTTGTGGGATTTAGACAAAGGCAGAGAACTCACCTGACAGTGTGGCCAGGGTTCGCTCAGCTGTTCCTCGAAGGGTCTCCCCAGGTTGCCACTCTGCCTGGGGCAGCATCCAAACATCCTGGTCTCCAAGCTTCTCTCTGACTAACAGGATAAGGTTCCTGTCTAGCTTCCGGTGCAGTGAAGTTCGGTCATTCTTTTCATCAGCTTCTACAAAGAAATGGGACCAGAGGAAGCAAGAAGACTGTGATGTGTCAGAATGAAGGAGCTTTGGGTTTTACAATCTTCTATCTTCCTTTAAGAAGAGCCACAGTGCTTTCCTTCAAAGGCCTTATAACTAAATTACAACTCTGACTCATCTCTGTGACCTCTTTCAGGGAAAAGTCTCACAATCTTGAGGAAACTCAAAGGTAAAAAGAGGAAATCAAGAGGTGAACTTCATCTTTCAATAGCAAACCATACTTTGAGCCTTTGAAAAAGAAGCAATGCCCATAATGATTCAAACATTGTATCATTGGTTTTGATACTATATGACTTATTACTTATACTTATTACTGACTTAACTAGCACCACTTTCTGTATTCTTCAGTCTTCATCGGTGAAACAAAGACAACAGAATTCAGCTTCCTACTTGAAGAGGGATTTCAGATAAAACTCCGGAACAAATGGAAAAAGGCTTTCCTACACTCCCAGTCCCAAACTAGGAGTAAACACAGATAACATTCACAAAGTTGAACTGAGAGAGAAAAGGCTATTTCAATACCCTTATCTCCCACTCAAAAATAACACAGGCCTTTAAAAAGTTATATGACATTAGATGTGAGCAACAGGGAAAAGAATTTATTTTTCTTCCACCTGAAAAAATTTTGTTATTTGAAATTATTTGTTACTTAAAACACAAAGCAGAGGCCATGCAACTGTCCTGTATTTGGAAACCAGACTACCCCTCTTTCATTCTGGCCTAAAAAGATTACAAACCTGTTATGCGAGCTCCAGGTTTGAACTGTAGGAACGTCTGCTCCCACATGTCTTCCAGATCTTGCACCAGCAGTATATCATCCCGGTCATCATCTTCATCATAGGAGTCAGCTTTCTTCCTTTCCAGTCGCTCACTTTCTTCCAGGGCACGAAGTTCATGATCTGAATACAGGCTTTTCTCTATCTCAATCTGGGAAAATTAAAAGGACAAAACACTACCTCAATTCTGTGAAAAGTAAAAGGAAAAAAAACAAAAACAAAAAATATAATAAAACAGAGCCATAGCACACTGGAAAAGCTCAGAAGTTTATCACCCAACATAATCAGACATACAATCAAAACACCACACAGAGACAGGAAAAGGCCAACTGCACTCTGAGCTTGAGTTACATTTGCCAAAAGGTGAGAATGTGACTGGGGGTCAAAACTGATGCAAAAAACAGATAGCTAAGACAGGCACTGCCTGACTACTTTCCATGCTCCAGTCATGTCAGTCTTTGATCAGAATGTCACTCACCAAGAACTTCCCTGCCTCAGGAGCTTTACAGATGCTGTTCCTTCTTCCTAGAATGTGTTTTTCATGTTCTTTCTCCTGGGAGATTTCTACTCATCCTTCTGATCTTAATTTAAATATCATTTTCTCAGAGAGACATTCCTTGACACATTTTTTTTTTTTTTTAGAGATTGGGTCTCGCTACATTGCCCAGGCAACTCTCAAACTCCTGAACTCAACCAATACTCCTGCCTCAGCCACCCAAGTAGCTGGGATTACATGCTTACAAAATCATAAAATCATAACAATCAAAATTAGATGTCCATGTTAAACATTCTTATAGTATCCTATGTTTTCCTTTACAACACTTATCAGAGTCTGCAATTAGTCATATGATTATTTGGTTACTGACTTCCTCCCTCACTCCACCAGACTGAAGCTCTCTGAGAACCTGAACTAGATTTGTCTTATTCATAACAGCATTTCTATCGCTTAACACAGTGTCTGGTACATAGTATATATTCAGTAAACAACTGTTGGGTGGGTAATGAACATTCAAATAAATAAATAAATGGAGCAAAAATCACAGTATAGCTCTCAGTAGATCAAAACAAAAACATCTCAGATTCTAGGGAAACAAACACCCTTCAGTTACTACCTATGGGGACTTATCCTCACAGCCATTACACTCAGTTTTGCCCTTGCCCTTCGCACAAATAGCCCTGTGAAGTAAAACAGCGCAGACTTTATCACAGGCATCGTGCAAATGTAACCCCGCTGCCTCCTGTACTTCCTTCTTCTTAATACTCATCCCATCACAGACTTTCTTCCCTCCAAACTGTGAGCTCCTTGTGACGGGCTGATTCTTGTTCGCCACCAGATCCCTACTGTGTTACGTGAACAAGAACAACATCTCCAAATATTCGCCTAAGGTGATGACAAAGCCAAATGAATAAGGAACTACTTTTTGTTGAATACCTACTATGCACCAAACCAAGTCAGTAAGGTAGGTACCATTTTGCAGGTAAGTACTACATACCTAAGTTCAGAGAACTGAAATGACTCGCTCAAGGACACACAGACTAATTGGTACTGAAGTTGGGTTCGAACTCAGCCCCGTGTGGTGCTACTGTTTGCTAACGTCACCCTGAAGCCCATGTCCCAGTCCCACCTGCTGTAGCAAAGCTGCCATCTCTTCCTGCAATGGGGTCAACGGCTTGGAGACTACCGGAGGACGCTGCAGGCACAACGCGCCCAACAGACGCCATGGGGATCCTTTGTTTGCGGGTGCAGCCGCAAGGGACAGGCTGCGAGAACTCAGGCTATCAGCCCAGAGCCTCTCAAACCGCCGCCAGCCCCTCGCCACCCCTAACAGAGTCCGCCTTGCGGGCGCCGCCATCTTTTCGCCCTCCCACAATGTACCGCGGCTCCCAGCGGGGACCTCAGCCAATCCCATGTTCCCATAAGGCAGCGCGAGCGAACTATTCCAATATGGAGGGGTGGATGAAGATCTCAGAACGTTAAAAAATAGAAAGGAATCCGAGGAGAATCTGCAATTATAGTTTTTATGTCGCATTTAAATTGAAATAAAAATATCCGTTGGAACTTATCTGAAGATCAGTTGACTTTTCCTTCTGTACCCTCCCCCACAGGCGCTCATGGTACGGGCGCCTCTCCAGCAATAGCTGCCGAAGGGAGCTGAGTGGGGTCAATTTCAGTCATGCAGGCCGTAAGAAACGCGGGGTTTTGGATCCTCCGGTCCTGGAGTTGGCCCAGAACCAGGTAACAGTGATTGCCCCTGGAGCCCACGGCCACGCTAGGGTCCACGCCCCTTCCCATGCCGATGAGCCACTCGGGCCCCAGTGGCCGCCAGGCTGTGGCCCTCAGTGAGCTTTGCCTCCATGCAGGGTCGTGGCTGGGTCGCCGGCCGGGACCATCCACACTGGCGCGCCAGAGCTGCAAGACGCGGTGGCCAAGCAGGAAGTTGAGGAGAAGGCTGCAGCTCCGAGCCACAGCCCCTTCAGGTGAGCGCCACTTGGGTCCAGCACACGAGAGACCTGCAGCCTGTGACTCTTCTCCGCCACCCTCTAGAGTCAGAATGAGTGCATTCTCAGCCCTCTCTCACTTGCCATCTGTAAAACGTTATGCAAATCAATCTCTAAGCCTCAGCTTTCTTATCTAAAAATGAGGATAATGCTGAGAGTGGTGGTTGTGAGAATCAAAGACGAGCCCTGGCACAAAGTAGATGTTTACTGAACATATGTTGAATGAATCAGTGATTGTCAAAAGAACGTAATATATATCAATTTTTCCTTCTTTCTGAGACAGAAATCATGTCAGATTAACAACTTCCCTGCCTAGGACACAAAATGGGAAGCTGGGGGCCACTATGCTATGGAACAAATTATCAGGCACTTTTTAGAGAAGGTTCAGGGTGGGTTTTGTGCTAGGAACTGGCATTTTCCTTCCCACCCACCAGTGCCACCACCTCTATGTGCGAGTCATGTACACATCTACCTTAACTTCACATTCATTTAACAACCCACTACAGAGAATCTATATGCCAGGCAACATGCTAGGTGCTGGGAATACAAATACAAAGATCATTCCTCCCCACAAGTAAATCACAGTCTTTCATGGAAAACAAATATGTGAACGTTTTCAGTGTAATTTGATCAATAGTATAATGGAGGTGAGAACTGGTTAGAAGTGGGAAAGAATTAGTGTCTCAGTCCTGAGGAAAGAAATCAGGCAAGACTGCAGAGAAAAAAACATGGAACTCAAAAGTAAATTAAATGAGATTTCAGCTGGACAAGATGAAAGTGGTCATGGGAGGCAATGGTAACAGCCTGTGTAAAGACATGCCACGTGAAACAACATGGTGTATTCAGGTGTGTGTGATGCAAATGAGGCCAGTAAGACAAGCAGGAATAAGAATGCTGAAGGTGTTGGCTGTCACACTGTAACTCTTTTTTTTATTCTCTCTTTTTTTTTTTGAGACAGAGTCTCCCTCTGTAGCTCACAGCAACCTCAAACTCCTGGGCTCAAGCGATCCTCCTGCCTTGGCCTCCTGAATAGCTGGGACTACAGGCATGCGCCACCATGCCTGACTAATTTTTTCTATTTTTTGTAGAGATGGGTCTCACTCTTGCTCAGGCTGGTCTTGAACTCCTGAGCTCAAACAGTCCTCCCGCCTCAGCCTCCCAGAATGCTAGGATTACAGGCTGTGAGCCACTACACCCGGCCCACACTATAACTTTTACACTGTACACACTGCAGGCAGTGAGCAGCCGCAGGAAGGAATCTAAACGAAGATCCTGTTGTAGTCATTCAGCAATGCCAGGCACTGTTGAAAGCATTGGGGATATATCCCTCACCAAACAGACAAAAAGCCCTGCCCCCATAGAACTTAAATTCTAGTGGGTAGGAGACAATAAATAGAAAATTAGTAAAACATGGGTGTATAACAGTTGGGGGAGGGGAGGGTACAGCAGGCTTTCTTGGCCACATTCTGTAAGGTTTTGTAGGCCATCTTTAGTTGTGAGGACTTCAGCCTTTTACTGAGTGATATGGGAAGCACTGGAGAGTTTTGAGTAGAGGATTGACATGATCTTGCTTGCATTTTAAAGGAAGTTTCTTTGGCTGCTGTGTTAATATTAAACCATAAATGAGTAAAAATGGAAGGTGGGAGAAGTCGTCTAAGCAATTAGAAGAGTGCTGAAATAATCCAGTCAAGAAATGGTGGTGGCTTGGAGCAGGGTGATACCAGTAACAGTGGTATAAATATAAATGGTTGGACTGATACATTTTGAAGGAAGAGCCAGTAGGATTTGTTAATATAAGGTGTGAGAAAAAAAAGAAGTCAAGGAAGATCCCAAAACTTTTGGCCTAAACAACTGGAAACATGGAGTTGTCATTTATTAAGATGAAGAAGACTGAAGGAGTTTGAACTGGAGTGGTTAAGTTTAGGAAATAAAGCTGGACCCTATGCTCAGTTCTTACATCAAAATTAATACCAATATAAAAAATTAGCCCACGGTGGCGCATGCCTGTATCCCAGCTACCTGGGAGGCTGAGGCAGAAGGATCACTCGAGCCCAGGAGTTTGAGGTTTGCTGACTAGGCTGACGCCACGGCACTCACTCTAGCCTGGGCAACAAAGTGAGACTCTGTCTCAAAAAAAAAAAAAAAAAAAAAATGATACATATAGAACAAAGATTGAACAATAGAAATTTTAAATTTTCATAAAAGAGTTGTTCATTCAGATGGCAATTTCATGGGCATTAATATTTTCTGAATTTTTCTGTATTTTTCATTAAAAAC